CAAAGACAGGATCCATGACAAGACAAAAAAAAAAAAAAAATGGGGGAGCTAAACTTCATTGAAATGAAGAACTTCTGCCCTGTGAAAGAAACTGTGAAAGAAGAGAATGAAGACAAGCCACAGACAGACAGAAAACCTGTGAGAAACACATATCTGACAAAGGACAGATATCCAAAATATACAAAGAACTCTTCACACTCCACAATAAAAAGTTGAAAACCAGGGAAAAGATCGGAATTGGCACCTCAGCAAACAAGGCACAGAGTTGGCAAATAAGCATAAAAAAAGACGCTTGACATCATGTCATTTGGGAATTTCAGAATAAAATCACAATGAGATACCACTACACACCTATTAGAAAAGCTAACACCCAAAACGTTGACAACACCAAATTCTGGAGAGAATGTAGAGCTCATTATAGGAACTCTTATTCATTGCTGGTAAGAATGCAAAGTAGCACAACCACTTTGGAAGACAGCGTGGCAATTTCTTATAAAATGAAATATACTTTTTACCCTAAGATAAAGCAATCACGCCCCTTGGTATTTACCCAAATGAGCTGAAAGCTTATATCCACACAAAAACCTGCACACAGATGTCTATAGCAGTTTTCTTCATTAATGCCCAAACTTGGAAGCAATCAGGATGTCTATCAATAGGTGAATGGATTAAATAAACAAACAAAACTATAGTACATCTACATAATGGAATATTATTTGGCAATAAAAATAAATGATCTAGGGGTGCCTGGGTGGCTCAGTTGGTTGAGTGGCTGACTCTTGATTTCAGCTTTAGTCATGACCTCACGACCATAAGCTCAAGCCCTGAGTCAGGCTCCACGCTGGGCATGGAGCCTGCTTAAGATTCTTTCCCCCTCTCTTCATCCCTCCCCCACTTCTGCTTTTTCTCTCTCTCAAAATAAATAAACATTTAAAAAAGAAAGAAAGAATCAAGCTACAAAAAGACATGAACAAACCTTATAATCATACTGCTAAATGAAAAAAAAAGCCAATCTAATAAAGTTACCTACATCATGAGTCTGGGAAAGGCAAAATAATGGAGACAGTAAAAAACAACCAGTGGTTGCCAGTGCCTGAGAGGGAAGAACAAACAGGTAGGGCACAGGAGACTTGGAGGGCAATGAAACTATTCTGTATGATTACGTGATGGTGGAAACATGTCATCACACGCTTGTCAAACCCATGGAATATATGATGCAAACAATGAACCCTAATGTAAGCTATGAACTTTAGTTAATAATAATGTATTAATACCAGTTAATTAGCTAACACTGCTCTAAAAAATACAAAGTCTGTTAAAAAGAGAAAAAGGTAAAGCCTAAAAACAGAAGAAGAAAATACACATATCAAACATTCTGCTCTCCTGAGGTATGTGGACAGTGTGTGTATATGTAGATGGTAGTGGCAAGAGAGTTTGTTTATAGATGAAAATTGTTTTTGTTTTTTAAAATCTCACTTGTAACAGAAATCACATGAGGACTGACCTGTTAATTCTTATGAAAACAAAAATAAGGGCTAAGTATCTCCTCACAAAGGAATTCCCCTTTCCAAGTTTCCAATTTTCAGAAAGGGCATCAGAGTTTTTCTGTTAGCTAGGCCCTAAAATGCAGACTTCTGTTTCTCTCAGGCCCAGTTTCTCATCAAGTACCACTAGGGAGTCTCCCAGATTTGTCCGCTCCTCTCCTCAGCCCCTGTCAATGCCCTGGTATACCACATCAACACAGACAAAGACTAAAACAACAGCCACTCTGCCTTGGGTCTCTCCACCAACCGAACAAGCATGCTTCCCTACTGCCTATGAGTTAAGTGACTTCTCACCTACCTTTGCAACGTGAAGACCTCATTCCCTCTTCTTGTCCCTCAATGCAATTCAATAAATATTTACTTAATGCCCACTGTGTACATGGGCCAACTTCTGTGTTCTTTTATTTCCCTTTTAACCAAAATACACCTCTGTCTGTAATCTAGTAGTTTAGTCCTCCATCAAACCAGGGGGTATTCATGTTTTACATGAAAAATCTCACTAAACAAAAATCTCTGCTTTTCCATCAAAAAACCCCTCTATTTTCTTCAAAGCCTAACTGAAATCCGACTGTTCCATGAAACCTTTGTCCCTCCCAAATGTCCTAGTTCATAATCATTTGTTTCCCTGAAATCCTAAAGCACTTATGACCAGGACACAACCTAGCCCCTGATCAAATATCTTCTTAAAGAGTCTGGAAGTACGCACGGTATTTTTTTCAAGAAGGTAGGAATACAGCTTAGATACTATCCACAGCATTTAGCTCAGTGCTGCGTACAGAACACACAACATTTGTTAGCTAGACTTTTCTTCTCTATTTTCATGTTTTCTAAGAATTCAAATTTTTGTCAGCACATAAAATTCCCAGACATTATTTGGAATGTAAGTGAAAATATCTTAGCATGTATATGTAAAAGCCTTAAAAAACTGGTCTTAAAAAGCACAGTGAAAAACCCACCCATTCAAGTACCCTGTTGGTAGATTTGGCAACACAAGTGAAATAAATGTGTCTGCATCTACAAAAGGCTGTATGCACATTTAGTTCTTGTCAGTCTAACAAAAGTTATTGGCAAAACTCTTTACCTCCACCGAAAGGGGAAATAGGCCCTGTCATGTGGACACTTACCTAGGAAAACTCCCTTCCACTGGGAAACAAGATGAGACCACAAATTATTTTTACATGAGCTATTAAGAATTCAATGGTATAAGCCTTTATTCACTGAGAATGAAATTTTCCGCCTCAAAAGATACTGCTTCATACTAAGCAAAGATATAGAGGTCATTAATGATCTGACTATTAATTATCCATGGCACCAGACTTGCATTTAAAAATGACAAACGAAACCTCAGCTAATTAGATATATATCATTCAATCAATACCAGTGTTACCTTAGTGGTATATGATTACTGAGGAACATCTCAGCTGTGTTAATCAACTCTGCTGTGGTCTCATGAGCAGGATCAACTATGAAAACCTGTGAAGGGAAAAGGGGGAAAGGAACATATGAAATGAAATTTATTCAAATGTAACAGGGCCAATGAAAATGCCATTACTCTTTGCACTTGAAGGTAATCTTTTTGAGTTACTCTTGAACCACATAAAAGAGGAGGTACACAATAGCAGTTTCCCTCCTTTATGTTCAAAGAATTCAGTACTAAATTCTCACGGTGTTCTGCTAATAGCATGGGAACTGTGTTCCAGATTCCTAACACCCATACTTCTACTACACCTAACAAAACCCAAGTTTTAGCAACTCCCCTACCTTAGAAAATGGAGATTACCTCTTTTTGTGTATTCAATTGTAAGCATCTCTGAATTAAGAATTCATTTAGAACTTAACTTTTAAATCTCAATACTAGCTATTATGTATTAAGGTCTCATGATGTGCTTCAAATCCATGTATAATCTCATTTAATAAAGTTCAGATATATGGGTAAGAGAAACAGAATGAAATTTTGACTGAGAAGGAAAAAAGTGGCTTCAAGAGTCAGGCAAGTACAGAGGATAGTTTCGCTTACAGGTTCTGGTGAAGGAGACCCCTAATCTCTTTAAGAGCAGATAATGGCAAAGGAAGAAATAAGAGGAAAAAAAGAGGGCAAACTAAGAAACCTCTTCTCTCTCTTGAAAGCAGTGAAATAAAGAAAAACAAGTAGGAGTTCACAGATTTATTTAAGGAAATAAACTGAACTATCAAATTTTAGAGATTAAGACATTAAAGGAAAAGAGTAGCAACATATTCATCTTCTGGGTAAAACTATCATAAAACTAAAATAACACAACCTAAACTTTCAGGTTAAGGTAACATTTCCTTACACCCTGATGGAGGCAGTAATGCTACTGTGACGTCTCACAGCCCTATATGTGATAAATACATTTAAAAACCCTTTCAGATTGAATATGGAGTTAGAAGAACATATTTAGTGGTCATAGTGGTGATAGAAGCACCTAGTATAGGAGAGAAGTGAACAGTCTATATGGCTGAAAGGTAGGGGAGAAGTGGGAGAAGTCAAGGGAGAAACAGAGCTTATGGCTAGACAATGAGCTTTCTCACCATGTTATGCAAGTTTTTCCTGATCTGCCGGATAACCCCAGGAAAGGTGGGTCGAAGCAATTCTTGTAGACTAGAAGGCCATGAATTATATCTGCTGTCAACCTCCAGGTTGTTGATCCACTAGGAAGGAAAAAAACAAAACAAAACACGGTGCATACACTTTAGTCACCCTTAGTGAAAAGTGCTAGAACTGTCCGTAAGACTTGAAATGATTTTAAGAAGAATCACATGGAAAACACCATTTTCAAAATTACAAAGATCAAGTATAAAAATGAGTGACTAAAGCACAAGCCACAGAATAAAAGATATTTGCAACCTACAAAACCAATAAAAGGACTAGGGTCAAGACAATGTATAGAAATCTAACATAATAAAAAAAGGCCCCCAACATATGAGAAATGAAAATCAGCCATGGAGATGAAGAAATTTACAGAGGAAATTCAAAAGAGCAATTAATACAAGGAAAGGAGTATATCTTCACCAATAACCTGAGAAACAGAAACTAAAACCACAGTCAAATTTCACACTCATTAAACTGAGAAAAAGTTTAAAGTTTGTCAATATCCAAGAATAGGCAAGGGTATACAGTAATGGAAGCTCTGACCCAACACTGGTGCTTGGAACAGTCACTTTAGGGAAAACAAGGTAATAAAGTAAGACTTTATTACTACCCTACCCCTAAGTACTCCAGTTCTAGGCATCTACTCCAAATAAATTCTCACATATATGCACAAAGAGAGAAATACAAGAAGATATTGTACTGCTTATCACAGCAACAAAATTGGGCACAACCTAATTCCATAAAGGGAGCAGTCTGTAAACAGTATGTACCATTTCTACAAAAAGGGCAAGGAGGGAAACTACGGGTATGTTACTTTGTTCGTGTAAATAGAGTTATTTAAGGAAAGATACACAAGTAATTGATAATGCCTGTTACTTCTAGGGACAAAAACTGAACAGCTGGGTGATGAGACTTTTCAATACATACCCTTTTGTATGTCTGAATTTTAAACTGTGACTGTATGAAAGATTTTTTTTTAATAAGCAAAATATAAAACATGAGAAGATAAACAACCTTTTTGGATCAACCTACATAAGTCTGACAAAACTACTGAGTAACAAAAGGACAAAGAATACTGCCATGGCATTCTTCAAAATTTCAAGACATACAGTAGGAAATGCATACGTACTTCTGAAGAGGAATTACTTGCAGGGAGAAAACGGTGAACTGGGAAGAGAGCTAAAGAGGACTTGGATGGAAACATTGTTTTCTTCCAAGAAAACAAGATTTGACACAAAATGATTAAATGTTAAGGCAGAGAAAGTATGGGATGGGCCATATTGCTGTTGCTTACATTCATCTCTTTACTCTTTACTCTTTGTTTTTAACTCAAATGTTTTTAACAGGAAAACAAATGACATCACAATATTTATCAAAATAACACCTACATTACCCAGAGAGAACTCAAATAATGATCATCTTTATTCGACATAATTTTCTTTGGAAAAACTTTCTCTATGATAAATGCTGTATAGAAACCAAGAAAAAAGGATAGGAGGGCCAAGGATGGGTCAGGCAGGATGGGCCAGGCACATTGCTAATATTAATTGTGCTTTGACCACAAGTGCCCAGGACAGCTCTATTCCCTGCATTCTCTTTTATACACAAGGAGACATCAATACAGCAGATATAAATCTATATAAATCCTTCACATACAAAATAAAGTTCTTTAAGTTTATTTATTTATTTATTTAGAGAGAAAGGGAGAAAGAGTGTGTGCACATGCACACGGGGGAGGGGCAGAGACAGGAAGAGAGAGAAATCGAAGCAGGCTCTGCATTGTCAGAGCAGAGCCCAATGTGGGGATCAAACCCACAAACCGTGAGACAATGACCTGAGCCTAAATCAAGAGCCTAACACTTAACCTGCCTGAGCCACCCAGGCTCCCCAATAATCAAAGTTCTTTTAAAGGATATTAGCTAGGTACCTGGGTGGCTCAGTCAATTAAGCATCTGACTCTTGGTTTCAGTTCAGGTCATGGTCTCATAGGTTTGTGAGCTCGAGCCCCACATCGGGCTTTGCACTGTCAGTTCAGAGCCTGCATGGGATTCTCTCTCTACTTCTTTATCCTTCCGTTGCTTGTGCACGTGCTCTCTCTCTCTCTCTCTTAGGATAAATAAACTTTAAAAAAAATGTTTAAAAAAAAGATAATAGCCAAAGAATGATATTCTACACAAAATTACACAAGACTTGGATGCAACTGAGAAAATACAAATTCAGCATTCTTTTTTCCCCAAGAGATGTTCAGCTGAATCCTAGGGGGATACAAAACTGGAAAAATCACTGTCTTAACCACATTAAATATAATAATTCAACTTTTAGAGCATTTAAGAGACTACTTTGGGGCGCCTGGGTGGCTCAGTCAGTTAAGTGTCTGACTTCAGCTCAGGTCATGATCTCACAGTTCGTGGGTTCGACCCAGGCATCAGGCTCTGTGCTAGCAGCTCGGAGCCTGGAGCCTGCTTCGGATTCTGTGTCTCCATCTCTCTCTGCCCCTCCCCTGCTCATGCTCTGTCTCTGTCTCTCAACAATAAATAAATGTTAAAAAAAAAAAAGAGAGACTATTATATACACATGGTCCCATATAAGCAGTTGCTGTAAATCACTGTTTGATGCCAATAAAGGAGATGATAGAAATAACTTACCTCTCACAAAAGACAAATGAGAAAGACATAATAAAATGTCTGCCCAGAATGCCCTTGGACACTCAAACGGAATACCTACTGAAATAGCAGGACTCCTGATGTCTACAGCATAGTCAGCTTCAGAGGGCTGGATGTTCAGTTTCAAAACATTATGCAGAGAAAGACCTTCTATTCCCAATCTATGCAGACCTTCCATTACCCGAGCTTCATTCCTCAACACATCAAACAGACTGGAGAGTGGGGGAAAGTAGGTATTTAGTAGAAAAAGCTTTAAAAAAAAAAAAAAAAAAAAAAAAAAAAAAAAAAAAAAAAAAAAAAAAAAAAAACCTCACCATGAAAAAACTATCCATTCAAACTCAATGCCCTGTTCAAACCAGTCAAGAAATCAAAAAAGGGAGCTCTTCCCCTTGCTTCATCTTGTCAAAATACATCAAACAAAGTACATAGGACTTGCTTCTTGGTTCATGTTTATTTACACTTATCCATGTATATACCAGGTATAAAATTATCTCTAAATATAAACACACAATTTGAGGATGAAATAATCCTCATCTGTATTTTACACTGCATATTTTTTAAAAACACTACAGTAACCTCTCTGTATTTCTTACAACTGTACATAAATCTACAGTTATCTCATAATTAAAAATCTGTTTTAAAAAAATACATTATATAGATTTAACATAAACTTTAACATCAGTGTCAATTTACAAGGTGCACACACATATGACCACAGTATAAGGTCTAGAGGAATTTATACCCAATGTAGAGGTTTTTGAGGGAAGGTAGAAAAGATGGGAAGAAGGAAGAAACAAGAAGCAAAGATGAAGACGTTACTTTTCTTAGTTCTTTTATCTGGGTATTATTTAAAACTGTTTAAATGAGCAAGAACTCAGTTTGTAAATCCTGAAAAATTAAAGAGATATGTGTATATTTTTTATTTAAAAAAAACAACATATATGGGCAATCTTTATTTAAAGTGTCCACATCCATTTTACTTTTTACTAGCTCTAAAAAGCAGTATGAGAACATTAACAGTTCAATGAAAATAATTAATGTGAAAAATATCTTACTGTGGGAACTGGCTCTTCTGAAGCATTAGCAATAAACTTTTATTTTTACTATTATGAAACCCAGTGTCAACTGTATCAACCTTAATCCCAAGGACAAAATCTGAATTCTATCTATCCACTCTCCTCCCCCACCTCCCCTGCAAAAAATTCATGAGACCAATTCAGAACAAGTTAATACTGAGCCACATTTTAACAACACAAAAAGGGTAGATACTCAAATAACATGTGTAAGACAGAACACCTTCTGAGACACCAGATGCATAGGCATTTTGAATAAATCTACTTCACACTGTTTCCAGAAGTAAAAGAACCTGCTTGAGCTCTCTCTTTTTTTTTTACGGTTGAGAGGAAAACTATAGCTCTAAAAGGGCACCCTCAAAAGACTTGGGCCTTAAATGTCCAAGACCTTGAACATACATCAAATGACAGGGTCACCAGGGTAGCTCAGTCTGACTCTTGATTTCAGCTCAGGTCATGATCTCATGGTTTGTGAGTTTGAGCTCTACATCAGTCAATGTGAAGCCTACCTGGGATTATCTCCCTCTCTCCCTCTCTCTCTCTCTGCCCCTCCCTCCCTCCCTCTCTCTCTCTCTCAAAATAAATACATAAACTTAAAACAAAAATGACAGTGTCATCCTGCCCATCCCAGTCATGAGCCTACCTAAATGCATTCACCTGGTAATAAGCCATCACAATCTGAACATGTTACAAGGAGCTAACACAATAAATTTTTTTTTCTTTTAGTGCTCATTTATTTTTGAAAGAGAGACAGAGCGAAAGCGGGGGAGGGGCAGACAGCAAGAGAGATGGAGACACAGAATCTGAAGCAAACTACAGGCTCCAAGCTGTCAGCACAGAGCCTGACGTGGGGCTCAAACTCACAAGCCATGAGATCATGACCTGAGCCAAAGTCTAATAACCAACTAAGCCACCCAGGCACCCCACAAGAAGCTAACATTATAAAATCTTTTCAGAAAATGAAAAACATTATCCATACCTGAATATATCCTGTGTATCTAAATCAATGTGAAGTCCATTGATGAACAGTGCTGAGTCTCCAGGTTGTAATCCTAAAGTTCCCTTGAAATACTGAAATATTAAAAAAAAAAAAAAATTGTTAAGAAGAAGAGGATGTTTAACAAAAATTTCCACGTTTCTAACTTTATTACATGTACAAATGTTGGCATCCTCCTATTTACTATAGGAAACCCTAAGGATGGGTTAAGATTTCCTTTTATGTACTCCCACAGATCCTTCATAGCATCTATTTTGTTGTAATGAAACTGCTGGTTGTGATAAAATATACCTCTCTTCCCTCCCTCCTTCCAACTTTGATTAATACAACTGTTTAATGTCAGAGAAGGAGGAGAAGGAAGGAGACTGGTTAAATAAGCCAAGTGCTGAGGATCATTTTTCATAAGAGACTTCTGTTACTCTTGCCTGTTTGTGATGCCAAACAAGGTGGTAACAGCAGTCACTAACAGCTGGGGCTCCTGATGAACTCCAAAGACCTAATCTGAAAGGGTTCAAAATCCCACACCTCCCTGAGACCTTCAAACTAACACACATCAAGAAACTGAGTTGCTGCCCCGAGGAAGCACCTATGTGCAAGCTAACTCTCTAAGCGCTGGTCTCCATGGGGCGCCTCAACTGCTGCTCCCTGAGGTGGTGGCTGCCACGGCACACAGGTGACTGTGCAGCCCTTCAGACCTGCCCGACCCATCCGACACACTGCTTGGATGTGTCAGCTTCTGTTGACTTCTATCCTTTCCATTTAATTCCTCTTTCCTTGGGAGCCGCTCCACACAGCAAAGGGAAGAAACTACTCAGATACTAGGGACAGAAATTAAACCTTTAGTTCTCATGGGGCTGGGGGAAGAAGGGCAGGGACCAGTGAGCTTCCTTCATGTCCCAGTAGTCTGCAGACTCAGTAAACTTCAAGGTCTAGTATTGCATGGGTAAAGCACAAAACAATGACGAAGCCACATTTGCTTCTTTGCCTTGAAGGATTAAATGGCAAGTAAAATAAGGGGAAAATAGAAAGCTGCATCAATTCAGAATTGGAATTTCTTACGTGGGAAGGAAAAACTCCATGTCCACTCACACCCAGGCCATAAGTACAGCACCCTCTGACTGTAAGAAACACAGATTCTGAGCTGCTAAGCATAACTCATATCCATTTCAAGATCTGGTAATACAGCAAACTTCACTTTTGAAAATTCATCACACTGAAGATTTAATGTTTGTACACATTTTTGCATGTTTTATACTTTTGTATTTTATACTTTAATATTTAATCAAGAAACCCCGAAGTATCTAGGAAGTACTATAGCCTATGTAATTTAATGTTTTGTCCTCTTGGTGGGGGGAGCCCTGAAAGTAAGATAATATTTATTTTTTTTTTTTAATTTTTTTTTCAACGTTTTTTATTTATTTTTGGGACAGAGAGAGACAGAGCATGAACGGGGGAGGGGCAGAGAGAGAGGGAGACACAGAATCGGAAACAGGCTCCAGGCTCCGAGCCATCAGCCCAGAGCCCGACGCGGGGCTCGAACTCACGGACCGCGAGATCGTGACCTGGCTGAAGTCGGACGCTTAACCAACTGCGCCACCCAGGCACCCCGAAAGTAAGATAATATTTAATATTGCTATTCTGAAAATCAAAAACAAGGTAAATAAAAAATGTCAATAAGGTTTCTTCAAATTAGTACATATTGGAGATAAATTTGGTTTACTTACCCCTCAGATCTATTTAACTAATATCTTCTATGTAAAGGTTTTAAAAATCTGGGGTAAAGACAGACTGAACACAAGCATTTCTTTCCCTCCTAAAACTCTATTGAAATGTCAGTTTTTTAAAAAGGGATTTTTATAGAGTTATAAATCCACAACAACAAAGAGAACAAAAGAGAAAAAGGGCAACTAATTTTGGAAGCTAGAAAGGAGATATGTGAGTAGCAAGAGTTTTAACAACCCTGAGAAAGCTAAAGGCTAGGCTGACAGTGGGGAAAGCCAACAGAAACCACAAGTTACCCTGTGGAACTCCTCAAAAGGCTCAAGAATTGGCAGCACAAAGAACACAGGTAAGAGGGGGTATCCACTAGGCTAAAAAATGAGTTCTGATGTATAGCTTTTTAAAGATAAGAGCCCCCAGACTCCCCGGTTGATTTCACGGAGCAAGGTCCCTCCACTCCAGAAAAACGGAACGCTTTCATTCCCTGTGAAAGAGTGAAAGAATCTGGGAACTCAGGGAAATGAAACACAACTAAGAGCAGGAATCCCATATGGAAAACCGGGGACTGAGTGGAAGCTCCTGAATGTTCTTTCCTACTTGGCTTCTACCACTCCAGCAGCCAGACTTCACCTTCTAGGTAAGAAAGAATCAGAAGATCCTTTTCTGGAGACTGAACAGCTCAAGAGGAAAAGTTTCAGACTGACACACTGGGACAAGCTAGGAAATGGCCATAACAGGATAGCCTACAGTCAAAAAGCCTCAAGGCTTGCCATCAGCTCCTTACTGCTACTGCCTCATTCTCTTCAATATGAGCAGCAATCACCAGACATGTGAGGAAAGCCTCTAACATTAAAGAAAAGAAACCAAGACAAAAAGAAAGTCAACTTAAGAGGAAACAGATACAAAAGAGAAGAAAACATACATATACACTACTGACACATTCAAAATGACATGAGAACACCATCAAAAAAAGGTCAAAGAACAATAACCCTTGGAAATTAAAGATTTGACAACTAAAGGAAAAAATCTCAACAAAGGGGTTGAAAATCCTCCCCTAAAAAGTTTTAAAATAAAACACAAAAGAATTGGAAAATAGGAAAGAAAATACACATTTTTTAAATTAGGCCAAGCTAGTCAAGGAAATGCAGCATCTTAAAAATAAAGAATTCCAGGAAAACAAAAGAGAGAAACTAGATGGAAAAATGCAAGGAAATAAATCAAGAAAACTTCCCAAAACTCTAGGAAATGATTTTCCAGATTCAAAGGGCCCATCAACCACTCAACAGTACAGAGATTTCTTTAAAGGGCATAGCACTGTGAAAATTCAGATTACTAGAGCCAAAAACAACACCCTGAATGATTCTGGAAAGAAAAACTAGATCTCATACCAAGGCTTCAGACTTCTCAACGACCACAACAGAAACCAAAATTCTAAGAAGCAATGCCTTCAAACTGTCACTATTGACCCCCGAACTCAAAACTGACCCACTGAACTCAGGAAATTCCTAAAAGTTTCTGTCAGTCAAGTTCATCTCTTAGAAACTAATAAATTGCTAGAAAAGGAAAAGAAACTATTTGAGGAAATATGACACCTGTGCAGATGAATCAGAAAGTGCTCCACAGCTTCCTCAGCTTCATTACAATGTTAAAGTCCCCTTCTTGGAACTATTCATCCCAAGCCCTAATAAAGGAGCCAGCCTACCTCTGTTAGAGTAGTCATGGTTTTGGAAATTATTCCCTGTGATCTCCCTATTTCTACAAATAAAGATGACCTTGTGAGGCAATTCCTCCTGGTGTGGTCTCTGTCTGTAACTCACCAAGAAGCAACTCACTTTGGTCCAGTAACAAAACTTCTAAAGGACTTCCAATCTAGATTTCTATACTCAGCCAAGCTATCAATAAAAACAGAAATGGAAAATTGATTTCTCAGCATCTGAAATGCAACTTTTCTCATGAAGAATGATGTACTGCACCAAAAAAGGGAGTAAACCAAAAACAAAGAATACCAGGAACCCAAGAAATAGGAGATCCAACAAAAGAGATTAAAGCAAGGTCCCAGGATAACTGGTATGCCCTAGACATAAAGAACAACCAGACCATAGTGGAGCAGAACAAAAATTAATAAAATCACAACATGAAAATACAGAGAAAGTGGAGGGATGGGGAAGTGCCAGTACAGAGTAGTGGCAGACATGGGGGTGAGGGGCAGTGAAAGAAAGTTAAATGTCATCTTTGTAATGGGAGGCCGACACAGAAGACTTGAAACTGGAAAACAAAGCACTAATTTAAGTTTACGATAAAGCTGGGGATAAACATCAAAACAATCAGCTAAGGGTTGAAAATAGATGCTTCTAGCAAGGAGGACAAAACAGGGATTAAGTCCAGAAGCCTGGGTGGCTCAGTTGGTTAAGCACCTGACTCTTGATTATGGCTCAGGTCATGATCCTAGGATCGTGGGATTGAGCCCCACGTCAGGCTCCATGCTGAGCAAGGAGCCTTGCTTAAGATTCTCTCTCTCTCCCTCTGCCCCTCTCCCCTGCTTGCTCACATTCTCTCCTTCTCTCTCACAGATAGATAGATAGACAGACAGACAGATTAAAAACAGAGAATAAGTCATGTTAGGGGGATGCTGCTTATCTAAACAAAGTGGTGGCACCATCTGATGTTTCAATTATATTCATATTCAACTTTAAATATTAAAAACATAAAAAAAGATTACAGAAATGAATAAAACACCACTATCTTTGGTAAAAGTTTGTTCAATGTCATTGATGTAACTCAGATTTCCTCATTTTTAAAAATACAATACAAAACAGAAAGACCACTGGGTAATACCTTCTGATTCTCTTCCACTTCGGTTCTAAGTTCTGAACTCACCGCTGTTTTTGTTATTGCTCTAAAGAAATAAAAATGTTATCGATGTTTAGTTAATTTCCGTATATTTGTATGTAAAACAACAAATTCCTTAATACAAAAAAACAAAAAAATCTTCACCTTTACAAATAATAAATATATTTCTCCACTCAGATGTACATATTTTTTCATTACTTCAACATACAACATCACAGAAAAGTAGCAGTAATAGCAGCATTTTAAATCAAGTGCAGTTATTCCAAAGATGTTAGGTTAAATATATGTAACTCTATTCCTATACACAATCTCTACTGCTCACAGACTAAGGGATAATGTTAAACTAAGGTGACAAACTGCTCATGCTACTTAAGCACTTTTGGTGGAGGTGGCATCCTACGTGTATATCTTCAATAGCATACTGAATTAAATGAGATTGTACTATATGATTTATAAGTCTTTCTAAGAAATGGTTGCCAAGACTAACCAAATAAACAAACTTATTTATAAAGCATCTCACATAAGAAGTCAAAACAGCTCATTCAGTTACTCAAGAAAAACACTGGCAACCATTTAAGTTGTTAGTCTCTAAAAATTTGGCTTTTAAAAAGATTTATGAGATATGGAGGATATTACACAACTGAAAGCAGTATTTAAAAAGCTGCACTCAAAATCTTACTGTCACCATGAACAAGTCAGCCTATAGAACTCATATGCCTCATTGAGTTTAAATTAAATGATGTATACAAAACTCTTCAGGAAGAAAAACACAGTCGCTGCTAGACCCTGTATTAGTTACATCCGCATACATCAGATTTTGTTAACTCATCTAAATCTGACAGGCAGGGATCATTATTTCCATTTTAATGCTGGGGAAGTGAGGTAATGAGAAGAGAGGTAATTATTTGCAAATGTCACACAGCTAGCAAGGCAGAGCCAAGGACACAACCTACATGGGTCTCCAACCTCACAATGTAGGGTACTGCCAACTTCCCAGAAAGATAGCGTCATCAGTGGCATGGTGCTGGTATTAAAACTTTAATTTTCTAAGCATTTTCATATTTTACTTGTCTCATTTTGCATGTAAACATGAAGATAATTAGGTATATAGTAAAGAGAAGAATGTCTTAGAGCTTTACTCTTCATTACCTGGCTTTGGTAGGAAAATTTTGACTAAGATCCTTCATTACCACCAAAGCTAATTCAACAGGAGCAGCCAAGATTCGGGAAGCAGTCTGGAAACTGAGATCTGCAACAAGGTCAAGTATAAAGTGTATTAATCTAATGCAATGAGAAATAAGGGGGAAAAAAACATTTATTTCTCATTATTTTCTTGGCAATTGAGAATGTTTTAGAATGCAACCATTTCAGAGAGCACCCATGGTTTAATTCTAGGTTTTGTTCAATTCCTAGTGTTTATTGTTACATTGCTTGCTATACTTGCATAAAACACTAGAGATATACTAACACATTTACATTTAGCATAGGATAAATCCACCCCAAATCCTTTTCATTTTTATGAATTTACAATATACCACAAAGTATAGTAAAAGTCTTTAGTAAATTATGCTTAAAAAAAAAATTTGATAAAATAGACCTTTGGGCCAGAAAAACACACATATCCTTCATGTTAATATGTCTTTAACATTTGACAGATACACTATTCAAGAAATGTATATATAAAAAAATAGAAAAACTAAGACAAACATTATAAACTTAAGAATCTGTTCACACAGAGAAAGATCTGGCATTCATTTATATACATACTTCTGCATACTGTTAATCTGTCTACAAAAGGACTTCCTTTCCTTTCTGATTAATCATAATCACTTTATCTGAAAATCTGTGGTACCCTGAGAATCAGGCAAATAAATAAAATTAAATTCAAATTCTATTAGTTTTTTAATACCATAAAATTCAGTCAAAAGTAGGCTGGTGATTCCTCTACATATTTGTTACCTTGCAATTGCCAAACTTTTAAAGGAGCCATTTCATTGGTGCTCTCCACAAGATGTTTTCTGAGTTCCTTCAACTGTCCCTTCAGGTCAGGGTGCAGGTCTCTGAAAGAAACATAAAATCAGTCCTTTAACATGTCTTTTCTTTCTCAAAGCACACGTAGAAGTTGGCTCCAACTTTATATTCATGATTTTCCCCTTAGCAATAAGTAAATTCCTACAATAAAGGGAAAATATTAGAGCAGAATTATTTTTCTTAAAAAATAAGTTAATATAGAAAATGATCATCTTTTAAACCATAAAATTTACAGATTAAAAAATGAATCACCACTACAGTGATTCTCTATGTCAGGGAGAGGGAATGGGACTGAGAGTGGGGACAAAGGGGACCCCAAGTCTACCTGTAGTGTTTTACCATTTCTTTCAAGTAAAAGAAGGCATGTGTTGGAAAAAAACTTCATAAATAGTTCTTTGAAACAGAAAAGCATGTACAATTACAACCATCAATTCTGGGTGATGAGCACATGCGTATGTTCTATTATTTTCCACACTTTCCTCAATCTTTTTAAATTCTCAAAATAAAACTGGAAATACAATGCTGCCAGTCCCAAGATGGATTTCTTTCAGCTACATGCCCATAAATCCTTCCATCACATGAATAATACAACTTAAGTTAACCAAGAGCACTGGGTTTCACTTAGTTTTATTTTGAAATACGGTGCATTCTATTTAAAGCTAGTAAAACAGAAGTTATCAGAGGCAGATATGTATCATTTAGATCAGACAACAGATGGCTTGTTGAGTAATTCTGTTCTTTTAAATGCTAGCAACTAAAAATTTCTTAAATGCCACATACAGAAAGTAAAATATTTACTCAGATCCTTCACCTTCCAACCAATCCATTTCCAATCAGTTACTCCAACGTCTTCTTCATGATGATCATATCCGAAAATGGTCCCATTCATTATTCTAGGTAGCTAAATAACTATTCCGAATGTGCAAAATGGAAAACGTCTTTAATATGCTACATACTACCTTTGTGCTCTAAATACATAAGATCATAATGCTATCCAAAAATCAAGCATAAAAAACATGAATATGAAAAAATATTCTGGAAAGCTGGGTCCAATAAAAATGAAACCTGACTGCATACTAATGAAGCCAAAATGATATTAAATACAATGAAACATTCATATGCATGGGATGGACTCAACATGTCCACAGAAATTCAACATGAACGGAGTCATCTTTGCTAACCCGTTAGTCTGGTTAAGTCATTTCACTGGGCCCCATGTTAAAGTTCAAGTATGTGAAACTGGCCTACACATACTTCTTCATGATCTTTCCTTTACAAAAAACAAATAAACGAACAAAGAAAAATGAGAAAACGCCACTGTAGATGTCCTAATTAAGATTTCCAGATAAAGCAGAAGTCCGGGCTCTGAACAATTGTCAAAGTATAATAGAAATAACTACAACATTTAAAGTAACTACTAAGAAGAATTTTCAGTCATAAATTTCTCTGAAACTTTCATAAAATGGCTATGAAATTTTCTTCAAGAAAACATCTCTATCCTCTTTCATATAAAGTGAAATCTAGGGAGCCTGGATGGCTCAGTTGATTGAACGTCCAACTTTGGCTCAGGTCATGATCTTGCTGTTTTGTGAGTTTCAGCCCCGTGTCAGGCTCTGAGCTGTCAGCAGAGATTTATCTGTGTTTCCCCCCCCC